CTTCATCGACTACGAGAAGGCATTTGATAGCGTGGACAGGACGACACTATGAAAGCTTCTTCGACACTACGGTGTGCCTGAGAAGATAGTAAATATCATACGGAACTCCTATGATGAACTAAACTGCCAAATCGTCCACGGAAGACAACTCACCGACTCGTTCGAAGTAAAGACTGGTGTAAGGCAAGGTTGCTTACTCTCACCCTTTCTCTTTCTCCTGGTGATCGACTGGATCATGAAGACGTCAACGACTGGAGGAAAGCACGGGATACAGTGGACAGGCAGGATGCAACTTGACGATTTAGACTTCGCGGATGATCTGGCTCTTCCATCACAAACGCAACAACAAATGCAGGAGAAAACGACCAGTGTAGCAGCAGCCTCAGCAGCAGTAGGTCTCAATATAAACAAAGAGAAAAGCAAGACTCTCCGATACAACACAATATGCACCAATCAAATTACACTTGACGGAGAAGCTTTGGAGGATGTGGAAACCTTTACACATCTGGACAGCATCATTGATGAACACGGTGGATCAGATGCAGATGTGAGGGCGAGGATCGGCAAAGCAAGAGCAGAAAACTTACAACTGAAAAACATCTGGAGCTCAAAACAATTGTCAACCAACACCAAGGTTAGAATTTTCAATGCAAATGTCAAGACAGTTCTATTGTATGGGGCAGAGACGTGGAGAACTACGAAAGCCATTATCCAGAAGATACAAGTGTTTATTAACAGTTGTCTACGCAAGATACTTCGGATCCGATGGCCAGACACTATCAGCAACAAGTTACTGTGGGAGACAACAAATCAGATTCCAGCGGAGGAAGAAATCAGGAAGAAGCGCTGGAAGTGGATAGGACACACATTGAGGAAATCACCCAATTGTGTCACAAGACAAGGTCAAAGGAGAAGAGGAAGACCAAAGAACACATTACGCCGAGAAATAGAGACAGACATGAGAAGAATGAACAAGAACTGGATAGAACTAGAAAAGGAAGCCCAGGACAGAGTGGGTTGGAGAATGCTGGTCGGCGGCCTACGCTCCATTGGGAGTAAGAGGCGTAAGTAAGTAAGTAAGTAACTAGTTGATTGTGTTTAGCTTAGTTGTATTTTAGCATAATGGGCCTGTGTAGACTGCTGAAGTTCTACAGCCTCTATGACAGACTGGTCTTAAACAACAATTAAGAAATTTAAGAGCTGTGGATAGCTGCTTTGTTCTAGAATGGGACGCCTCGTTGGTATGTCACCACGAACCCACTATAGGCCACACCCACGACCTTCGGCTTAGCAGAGAGCGCTTGACTTCTAGGCTTTCAAACCGGGATCTAGTGCTGTACACACTTAACTTCGATCATTCACCTATTTCATGCAATCATCTTCCATATTTCTTGTAATTGGTATAGTTATGTGTTTATATTTGCGTGCATACCATGAAGCTATGATGTTTTGTAATTGAATACTTAAATGAGATATTCAAATCACTTCAGCAGTTGTAAATGAGGTATTCATACTCATTAGTATAACGAATAAAGTCAAATGCTTAATCTTTTCCAATTAGGCTTTATCAGAGAAAACACTAGTAAAGGTTAGTCAATATATATTAATTTGACAAAACATGTTATTTACTGCTGAACGTCTAAAAATGTCATTTTTACTATAGGTAATTTGGTTTTAATGAGCGGTATAAAGATCTCATACTTTCTACAAGATTTGGAAGTTTCTGTTTAGATGCCATGTTACAAGTTGGATGTTGACCAATGTGGATGAATGAGTCAGCTCCTAAATGACTTCTGTTTTTCTACAGTTTGTTATTTTTGTATTAAAACTAACTCAAAGCTGAATGAAACTCCTTGAACCAACTAACTAACTGATAATCATACATATTTTTCATTTCATTCTGAGTATCAGTAAACTATCTACTGTACACATAAAAAAATGTAGATGATATGTGGGCGAGAATGATAATGATTGGTTACCTGCTTTGTCAGACATGTAGAAAGTCTGACAGGTGTCAGATGAATTATAAATTCCCCTATCCTTTATTATTGACTGTAGGTATCATTACCAGGACTTGATTTGATAATTTTGAATAAATTGAGCATTGGGTAGATTGTTATAAATAAATTAATATATTTGTAATATCCCAATGAGTAGAAAAATTAGATTTTCTGAAGTTTCGTGACTCAGTGTAAGCCACTTCTTCAGAGAATAAATAACCAAATTAACATTAATCGAAGTTTAAATAGTACAACGGAACAATCCAAGAATATTAGGTGATCAATCAAAAACAGGTCTGAATAAATCACTGTCACGTCATTTCATTTCGGTCAAGGTGATTCATAAGCGACATGTATGTAATTTTGTGTGTATGCATGCACTGTTAATAATGAAAACTGTGTGACCTTTATAATTACAAAGGATAGAGTTTGATTTGTAATGTAATGGTGTGAAATTGTAAATAATATCAGACTGAGTGACTAGGATAGATGGTCCAAGTAGGCTGTATGGTAAGGCCTTCCTTTCTATTGAGAGCTGTGGGATTAATCATTATATGGAAAGCTTCAGCTACTCTTCTTTCTTTGTAGTTAGAAAAACCTTTCTGTAGTATTTTGACATTTTCGAAATCAATTTGATGACTGTTGAAAATGGCGTGAACTGCTATTGCCGATTTAATCTGAAGTCTATCTAATTCTACAGGATTATTAGGCGGTTTCTTTGTGTACCTGATATGTTCTTTAGCGCGAGTTAAGATTTCGCGAGATGACTCTCCAATATAGAAGGCATCACAATCGACACAACCTAATTTGTAGACGCAGTTCTGTGTAGACATGAATGGTATTTTTTCTTTTAATCGAACTAAAGTATTTCGAAGTGTGTTAGTTGTTTTGTAATATACTTTAATTCTGTGTTGTCTTAATATCCGTTGGAGTTCTTCAGTTGTGCCATGACGGTATGGTAAGACTGCAGTACCAATCCATGGCATTTCATTCGAATTATTATTATTATTGTGTACTGAATTGTCTTGTTTTAATATACTTCTAATAATCTTCATAGGAAAATTATTAAATTGTAAGATGCTAATTATATTCTTTTGTTCTTTTTGTTTGTCCTCTTCTGAAGAGATGATCTTGTTGGCTCTTCTAACAAGATTTAAGGCTAACGAAATTTTAGCACTGAAAGGATGTGCTGAATGGAAGTCGATGTAACGATTGGAGTGTGTGGGCTTTCGGTAGATGGATAAATTTAAAACTCCATTTATATTTCTTTTCACTAAGCAATCTAAGAACGGTAGCTCTCCATGTTCATTTTCATTCTCATTCGTGAATTTGATGTGAGATGAAAGTGTATTTAACAGTTTTGAAAACGATCTCAGATGCGTCTTTTTTATTACTACAAATGTGTCATCTACATATCTGAGCCAAATTCGTGGTTTAATTTCGTTGGAGAAAATCTTTGATTCTATGTGTGTCATAGCAATGGGTTCTCCCGTGTCGCCGATTGTGGCCAATCTTTTTATGACACACATAGAATCAAAGATTTTCTCCAACGAAATTAAACCACGAATTTGGCTCAGATATGTAGATGACACATTTGTAGTAATAAAAAAGACGCATCTGAGATCGTTTTCAAAACTGTTAAATACACTTTCATCTCACATCAAATTCACGAATGAGAATGAAAATGAACATGGAGAGCTACCGTTCTTAGATTGCTTAGTGAAAAGAAATATAAATATAGCCTTAATTTACAAGCATTGTAAGCAAAGATGGATAATGGCTAGCAGTGGAACCAGGACGTGAGTTCCGTCCTATTTGGGACTCGTCAGCTGGATATACCTGCATCTCAGAGTTGATGTTCACTCTGGGACTCGAACCCAGTACCGTTCGCTTCATACGCCATCGCATTATCTACTTAGATACTTAGTCCTGATAGCCACTTGCTTGTGCATGGGGGTGAAGTTTAAACTCACTTGGTATTGTTTGTTTGAATCTTCCTATTGATGTTTAGAACTGCGATTGAGCAGTCTCTTATTGGCATATGGCCAATTACTTTGATTATAAACTTTCATTAAGACCATCAAATTTTTTTCAAATTTCCAATAAAGTTTGAATGAAATGCTCAGCATGAACAGATAGTATTATCTAACTTTAATTTAACCGGTCAATTCCAGAGGTACTTCCTGAAGTTCTTGTGAGAAGCAGTGACCAGTGAAGTTCAACCACGTCTGTTGTGAGATAGGAACTCACTGAAGTGGTCTATCGATTAAGTGCTCTGGCGCAAGACTGATAGGTCCTGAGTTCGAATCTCACGAGGCGAGGTCGTGGATGCGCACTGCTGAGGAGACGTAACAGCCGTTTAGTGCTTCTAGGTTTTCCATGGTGGTCTAGCTTCAAATGACTCATGATTTCAACAATGAAAATTCCATAAATCTTTATCTTGATTGACAAAACATTCAACTAGTTACCTCGATAAATATAGTGTTAAAATAACAATTAAATTGATATGTATAAATAAATATATAATTAAATAAATATTGCATTATTGACAAGATGAAAAAAAAGGAAAACACACATCATAATTCATTGGGTTCAATAAATTTTCTTTGTTTTAAACCAATAAAGACGAAGAAGGAGAAGATTCAAAATGTTTATCAAGAGAAAGAATTTGCGGGTTTTTTTTTAAAATAAAAAAGTACACCACTTTCCTTTCAAAAAGTGTTTATTTGTTTATTTTAAAATTGTTTTCTATAGAGATAAGTAAACACCATGTGTGTGTGTGTATGTGATTTCTCATGATAACAATCAAATGTAACTATTGACTAAAATGAAAATTAAGAATTAAAAAGCAAAAAAATTATTTTATTTTAAGTAAAAACAAAAAAAGGCTATCGAGCAAGATGAACATATCGATTGTTTTTTTTTGGCTGGGTTTATTATTTTACCGAGGCTAATGTGTTAGAAATAATATTGATTGTAAATAATCTTCTGGAGTAATAATTAACCCATATTTAATGCACCAGCACCTTGTCCAAAACCAAAACCTTTTGGTCCAAAATTTTTTCCATAACAAGCTGAAAAATAAAACAAAAAAATTCAATTATTATTATTTATTAGAAAATAGTCTTATTTGTAAGTTTATACGTGGTAATTTGACTACTCGAGCTAAAAGCTCATTGGAATATCGAAATACATTTTTTAAAAAATTATCCTCTATTCCCTTGTTCAATTCGTCTAATAACTGGACAATTAAAAATAAATCTTAATTACACATCACAGTGACCAAGACACAATAAACTCATTTGCTATTGTTTACTTAATATTTAGGACTGCAGCTGATCAGTCTTTTATTGGCCTATGTGCATGCTGTGCATATTGCTTCAATTGCAGTCCTAAACATCAATGGGAAGATTAAAAACAAACAATACCAAGTGAGTTTAAACTTCACCCCCTTGCACAAGGAAGTGGCTATCAGGACTCAGTATATGTATCTGGTGCCCTTTTGTACCAATATGTATGTGTTTAAATAAATAAATAAATAAGGACTCAGTATCTAAGTAGATAATGCGATGGCGTATGAAGCGAACGGTACTGGGTTCGAGTCCCAGAGTGAAAATCGACTTTGAGATGCAGGTACATCCAGCTGACGAGTCCCAAATAGGACGAAACACACGTCCTGGATTCCATTGCTAGCCACTATTTATCTTTGATCATAACATAATAGTCAATTTTAAGTGCTTATTTAAAAATATCAAAAGAGAGAATTTCCATTTTAAGCTGTTTATAGCTAAAGTCTTGGAATATATTGCTTTTCATAACTAATGATGTCTTCAAAAAACTGAGCGTATTCAATTCAAGGAAATCTGAATAACACATAAAAATGTAGTTCATGGTATAATTAATCTGATAGTGGTGTGTTTATAGATACAATCAAATCTACTGAGACAATCAGTCACAAACAAGGAGATAAAAACAAACTGATATAACATTTATAGAGTAACTGAAAAGCTCTCTTCTACATGAAGCAGGCTCTGAAGATGTAACCAAGCGCGATAATGAAGGCATCTCAATTAAACTGTCTACCTCAATGAACAAAACATCACCAAAAGTATGCCGTTAGTTTGTAAATCTTTATTATTAGTTCAAAGATGTTTCAAAAGGAAAACAAGTGTTAATTGTCCCAATAATATTGACATTTTAATATTTAGAAACCATTAATATTGTAGCTAGATTCTTAGCAAATAATTTTCCTGTAAATAAACCAAATTAATAAGTGTTATTCATTCAATTAAATCACATAAACTATATATTTATAGGTATTTAAATAGATATTTAATACAGTACCTTTACAGTAAATTTCTTTTTCTTCCTTTTGAGTGCACAAGGTGGTTGAGTCAAGTGATTTCCCGCAAACTTTACATCGGAAACAAGCTTTATGAAAGTTGAGCTAATTATAGAATTATAGAAAAAATAATGATAAATAAATGATGTATAAGCAGCACTAAAATATTCCAAGTAATGAAAATAATTTTGCTGTAAAATTTTTTTGAAGATTACTTTAACTTCTAGGTGGTATTCGTAAGAAATTAAACTGAGTTTGGGTTTCACAGAAACCGACGAACACTGGGAAGCTGTATTTTCTCGGTATGAGCCATCTCAAAATTAGTCTATTATTTCATTAGGAATCGAACCTAGAAAATTTAGATTTCTAAAAAAGCTTTTAACAATCAGAGCCAGTTTTGCGATATCCAATGGTACATATTTCCAACTTGAGTCATTTTATGATGTGTCCAAAGAATCTATTAGTGTCATTAGTAATGACTGCTTCACCGCTAACATACCTGAACAAAACAAATAAGTTATCCAATGCATCTTGTTTCTAATTGGGATGCTATCTAATGTCTGATTCTGATAAATACAACCTAGATAATAAATAAGTGTTAGTCGGCACAGTAACTTCTCTAATGTTAACATTAAACAGTTTGAGAGAAAAATTACAATTTGCTTGTTGCTGATACCTTTGTAACAATTTTCTAACAAACTGGGACAGTTAAGTTAAAAATATCAATCTTAGAAGTACATTTTTATATAGTAAAATTTGATACTTCTAATTTGATCATTTCAAGTTTCTGTACAAAATGCAGTGATTTCAACTTATATTCATCTTTCACGCTATGGTAAAATATTTTCTAGGATACTTTGTGATAGAACGTTATCTAAAACGCCACTGACTTGTACATTGTCCAACTAAAAGAACTTCGCCTGTTTTCTTTTTCAAGTTTTCAGTATTATATAAAAAAGATATAAGAGAGCAAGTGATACAGTTTAAAAATTGGGCGCCATTGTACATATTCATCTCTTTTTTCAGCTACAAATAATTTTTTCGGAAGTTCTTCAACTTTATATCAGCCTATTTATTCTTTTTCTAACAATTTCTGCTAGTTTATATGATCTTTACTTTCATTAATTTGAGTAGAAGTACAAGATAATTAAACATTTTAACAATATGTCAAGTTTCTTTGCTAACCTGTACTTCAAAATAGGACCAGTGTTTACAAAACAATTTGTTTACAAACACGTTACTTGAGCAGTGAATGAAATAGTTCTCATCGTCAACTAATTATTGATTTTCAGGTAAAGTAATTACATTCTGCTTTCATAAAGTTTCAGTCTTATCAGTTTCAAGACATAGAATCATAATGGTACTAATATTACTACTACTACTACTATTACTACTATTACTACCGTGAAACACAACATTAGGCAGGAGGAAGGTACATTTATTGTGAGAAGTTGAAAAGTATCCATATAGTAAATATACAGGGTCCTCAGTCTTCCATTTGCATCATTCGGTATGTTTTGTAGTCGGAACCGTCTTCTCATCTAGTCTCCACTTGTTATGTCAACGATTTGCTTTCGATTCACTGAAACTCTTCACTTCGTCTTACAAATGTAGCAGTTGAGACGTCACGTTCTTCTACACACTACTTAAAAAACAACCTTGTGAGTAGCATCCACTACTATTACTACTGAAATATTTGAATAAACTTACTCCACTTGGACATCCAATAGCTTTTTCGGCATCATATACTCGTTTACCACAACGTGGGCAACCACCTTCTTCGGGAGATATAACTTTACCACCCATTGCACCAGCTGTTGGTTTATTTCTAGGTTAATAGTTTTTGAAAAAAATAGTTATATATACAATTAATTATTGAAATACATTTTTGTAAACGTATATATATATATATATATATATATATATCTGAGTTTAGTGATAGTAATAGTATTGTTAAGTTAATGGATGATATTTAGATAGTTGGACTTCTTCATCATTTTAAGCTACCAGTTTTCTTTTAATCTATCACACACACACTCTCTCTCTTGACATTGATGACTACATTTCACTGATAGTTTGAAGATTTCACATACCATGTAATCTCTTTGTTATTTTACAAAGTATATTTCCCTTTTGCAAAAAAGATAGACTCAACTTTTCTCCTGAAATCAACACATTTCTGAAATTGTTTTTAATATCTTTGTTTCAGTCACCAGTTAGCTCAGTAAAGATCAATTGAAGAACATATTTTGGGTCTACTTGATAACTGAAGTTGGAATTATTAGTTCAGCGAATAAAATTTAAGTTCGAAAGGTTGGAAAATTTTCACTGACAAATATTAATTCAGCTTATCGACAAAAATGAAATTGAATGTCAAGACCGACAAATGTACCATCCTACCATACATAAAGGACATATCAAAAACTACGAAAAGATTGTATAGGATGTTTGGAATGGCCGTAGTATATAAATCAGCAAAATGATCAATCAGTCTTATACAAACTAAAGGATGAAATAACAAAGGAATAAAAACCGGACATTATTTTCAAAATAAAAGGTTTTAACTGTGAGAAACAATAGCTCGGACAAAGTGGACGCCCTTTTCATCTTCATCTTCATGAACACGAACCAGCTGTCAAACGCCATGATGCATCTCCGTTTATATCTATGAGCATAAACAATTATAGACTGGAGAAATGATGAGATTTTGGATATAAAGAGTACTGAGAACACTAGAGAATTCTTAAAAGTTTGAAACTTAGGTCAATCAGCAATTAAGAAATACATAGAAATCGATCAATTTTGTTAACAAAACCAGAAAAATCATGAATAAATACGGGATTAGGAATCAGTTCACGGGAAGAGACAATCAAGATAAATATACAGACAACGGAAGATCAAATGTCAACAGTAACCATTCAAGATCATAGTCGACAGGACGAGCTGTTAGTCATATGTCAAAAAATTTGAATAACTCATCTTTACCTGGATTTTGTGTTGATGATGATGTTCAGAAAAATAAAGAATGAATGCTTCATTATTAAACCATCTAGCCTAGAAAAAGAAGCTCTACCAAAATCATTCAACTGGGCTACAATCTTATCCACTATCTTGGTCTAAACTATGTTTTATTATAGACGTTGGTTCGGTTTACATATAAATCTTTTCAACCTCTGGATGAAGCACGTAAATAAGTCAATACTTTCTTTATCCTGGCACTTGTATACAATAAAGCTTCCATAGTATGGGCTGTGAGGTCGTATTGAAGAATCGTCTGATAGTTCTTAGCATAAATAAGTAATTTAATTTAAAAATAATTATCCCATTATCAAATGCATCATACTTAGCTCATCTCATCTCCTATAAAAACTTACGACATTTCTGTTTCTTTATTACCAACATGAGTTCCAGTATCCATATTCAGTGCTCCAGAACCTCCACCGAATCCATAGCCTTTAGGACCAAATTTACGACCATGACAAGTTTTACAAAATACTTCTCCTTCGTGTTCAGCCACTGTAGTACTGTCTAACATTTTGTTGCACAAACCTTTAAAAATAAGATGTGTATTTATGTAAACAAAGCCTGATATTTGACAAGAAAATAAAAGTAAATAGTTTCATATACCTTTTGTGGATTTCATTATTGTTAAGCCTGTAGCTTTTAAAGTGTTTTTGGTACTCACATTACCATAAGAGAAGGTTTTAACTAAACCATTGTTTGTATTCAGGACTGAATTCTAGTCAGTTACATTCGGCATGTAAGCATCTGGAGCTTATTTCTTTGATATAGCCATTTTTCCTCAAGTTGTTGGAATAGATGGATCATGAATAGTAATGGAACCTAGGATGTTCGTCTTGTCCTATTTGGGACTGGTCATTTGAGTCTACCCAGATTGTAGCATTGATGTTCACACTGAGACTCGAGCAGCATACCTTTCACTTAGGACGATAACAAGTGAATCATTGAGTCTCAGTGTAAAAATCAACACTGAGATACTGGTATGTCCACCTAACAAGTCCCGAATACAACGGAATGCACATACTAGGTTCTAATGATAGTCACAATTTATTTATTCTAAGAATATTCTATTCGATTGTCAGGAGTGAAAAATATAACGTTAACTTTCATAACGGATCTAATATTGTTCAGGTTATTGCTATGCAAAGGGAACCAACTGGATGAATATTTATTTTGAGTTGTTTCAAATCAAATCAGTTATTGGCTCAGTGGCCTAGAGGTTAAACGTTCGCGTGCGCGACGGAAGGTCTTAGGTCCGAGTTCCGCATGCCTGATCTTGAATGCGCACTACTCATCAGTCCCATACTATGGTGAAACGGTCGTCCAGTGCTTCTAGGTTTTCAATAGTAGTCTAACATTCATCCATTGATGATATCAATCTAAACTCAACAATCTCTACAACCCTATACTGATAATTTTATATTACAAATAGTTATCAATCAAAAACCTGTTTAGAATAATAAAATGCTTAAAATAACATTTGTTTCATTTTTGTGACTTGTCAATAGTTTTCATTGGTGAATACAAATATATTAAAGTCGTAATACCTAATTCTCCATAATGTTCACATTAGCTTATAGCTTATAGTATCACAATTAAAGATTGATTCATGGATTGAAAAGTAACAGGTTCTTGTCATATGCCCTAAAATTTCCAAGTTTTCTTGAGACATAGTTTAGTTATTTGTCTTTATGAAAAGTTTGAAAGTGTGTAAACGATATATAAGCGAACTTCTCAGTCAATTAAAATACATACTATAGGTCTATTAAGAATAATTCTAGTATTTAGTTCACTGATTTAAAATTGTAAAGGTAGGATGACAAATTTCTACTGAACATTGGATGTAATGACTAGAAACTGGAAAATTTTTATAAAATACTACCCGAAGATAGGATAGATTAGTATACTAAGAATGTACACATAAACCTTTCTGTTTACTTTCGAGAAAAATATCATATTTAGTTTGCTACGATACTAGAAATATATGTCTCCCAAGAGAGGAATAGTGACCATTGATATGACTTATATAAAAGAAAACTTATTTATTTAAACACATAAACATTAGTACAAGGGGGTATCAATAACAATGGGGACGGTAGTAGTTATCATTGATTTGTGTGGGGGCTGTGATACTGCCCGGGTGCCCAAAACATAGACCGATGGTTTTCTTAGGCGGCTACATCTGCAGTAGTTGACCTGAAGGTCTAACCTACAAGGAAGTGGGGCGACCTTAGAAGATGCAGTCCCATGGTAGCTGGTAACCAACATTTGGTCCATACGCCATTTGCTTCCTCAAAATCCTGGAGCCCATTTGTACCATTGGTTTTAAATCATGGCTTAGCGACTCTGGTTAAAGCGCCGGACATCTATCTAATGCATGCTGTCAAAGCAGTTTGATAAAAACGTTAAACATGATAACGCTGTAAAAATAAGAAATATTGTGTTTATATGAATGTATCATTAGTCGTAGCAGTTAATATTAATTCTTTGCGATTGGCTACTTATCATAGAAATCGATATTATTGGAAAAATGCCACCGAATAGAGATCAAAAGACAGTAAAAATAACTAACCAAAAATTAACTTTAGTAAAACAAAATAAATATATAAATACAAAAATGAGAATTATCAGTTGTTAAATACATAAATAATTGCAGACAAGTTTTATAAGTTAAATATAGGTCAATGGAATATATACGTGACTATCTGGCTAGATTTCTTGTCAGATGAATCACCTAAGATAATTTATGAATAATCAAAGATGGGCAATGGATAACAGTGAAACCAGGACGTACGTTTTGTCTTATTTGGGACTTGTCAGCCGGATGTACCTGCATCTCAGTGTTGATGAACACTCTAAGACTCGAACACAGTACTTTTCGCTTCAAGCGCCATTGCATTATCTACTTATATACTGAGTCCTGATAGCCACTTACTTGTACTGACGAGTCCCAAATAGGACGAAACGCGCGTCCTGGATTCCACTACTAGCCAGTATCCATTTTTGCTTATAATACTTGCGAATTCAGGCTATATTGAGGCAATGCGCACAGTATGCACATATGTCAATAAGAGACTGATCAATTGCAGTCCTAAACATCAATGGGAAGATTCAAACAAACGATACCAAGTAAATTCTAATTTATGAACAATTACCAATTATATCAAACACCATTTAATATGTAACTAATGTTTATTTTATTTAGGAAAGGGGTAAAAATTACCCAATGTAATTATGAACTACTTATAAATTGACTGAAACAAATCGTTAAATGTTGATGAAAATGTAATATTACTGAACAATAGATGAAAGTTTCTTTTTTGAGTTTTTCTTTGTTAGAATTGTGATTTACATAAGTTTGAACCAGAAAGATAACACTGCATTCATCTAATTGTTATTACACTCTATTGGAGTAAGTCCATTAGTACTAATTACTGTAGGATGCTAAAATAAAAAGGCTTACTTAACCAGTTTACTTAACGTTAAGCAAGTGGTTACACACTCCATTGATACAATAAATTGATCATTTACTTGGTGACTTAATGAAAAGTAATATTCTGTAAGCCGTTTTTCTAACAACCCGGATGTCATCAATAAAACTTTAGTTTAATTTTATTTACCTGTGAGTAACATCGTGAAATAAGTACATTTAATCAATGTTAGAACGACCAACAATTAATATGCAGAAAGTACTGAATCTTAAAATCTGTTTCTCATAAGCTTCTAGCAAGCTAGCTGTCAAGATGTGTTTGTTTTAACGCTAACTGATAACCAACAAATATTGATCCATGTATAATGGTCAGCATCACCAGTTATGTTCTTAACGTCCGAAAATGTCTATTGAAAATTATATTTTTCTCATGCTTAACAGTTAACAATCAAATTTATAATAATCTGTGTGAGAAGGAATAGTTTGCTCAGAAAAGACATTGTTTTTGGAGATGATTTGTTGTCTGAGCTGGATGACTTAATCATTTAATTTTCTTTTTCTTTATCCACGTGCACTGATATTAGAGAAGTCATGTCATGGCCATGGCATAGCAATGACCACACATCCGTAGACAAAAACCAAGCTTCAAGTTAACAGAACAAGTTTTTATTTAATTTGGGAAGAATTCAAATTGATGACTTTGTATTGAGATGTGTTTACTGATGATACTGTCGAGGAAGACCATAAAAGTTTCAAAACTAAACCATCCAGCTCAGAGAACAAAACGCCTCGAAAATCCTTATCCTGAACTACAAATATTCCACACAATCTCAAAAGACGTTGTTCTAATATCTTGTTCCACCTGTTATCATAATATATCTACTGAATGTGGTGCACTTTGATTCGTTTAGTCAATGACGTTACGTCTGACAGGCCTCTAAATATGTTGACTAAATATAAACTTACAGTCTATAGGAATTGATAAAAACATGAATCATATAAGAATGTTACGTAAAGTCAGTACAAAAATTCGAAGTAAATTCCCAGATTTTCAAGTTTATAAAATAGACTTATTCTCATTTTAACTTTATTATCGATTAAGATTGTCTGGAGAAACAAAGGAACCTCCAGTTCACTATATGGATGTTTAGTTTAGGTTCAAACCATTTTACTTGTATAAAAACTACATACCCTTTATAGAATTAACTGCCTTCATTAATAGTTTACTCATTTAGATTCTTTTTTAAAGCTTTTTAACTAATAATTCTCAACCTAAACCTCAGACTAATTGTTTATCAGTTATTAAATAAAATATGAAAACAGAAATCAGCAAGATATTTACTGATTAGAGAGCACGAAAAGAAACTCTTATTCATCACATTTGACTCTGATTTGATGTTAAAAACTACCTCAAAATTTAAAACATTATATCTAACAAAAAACAGTATTCGTCAAAGAAAGATGTTTTGAACAAAATACAATACTGTGAAAATGGTTAGAACCAAGATGATCTATGCCTACGGGAATAAAGACATTGATCAAAACTGTACATGAATTCATATTTACTACTTCCTTAAACGGTATGCATCAAATAGATCTCTATTTCATACACCTTTATCCATTTATAAACTTGATTAAAGAAATAACAAATATTGTAGAAGTATTTGTGTGGTGTATGCTACTTATATAGAAACCTATAAGCAGTATGTAACACCAATCAGAAGTGGAATCCCTGACAAAAAAAGTTTGACAGAATTGATCTGAAGAAAACATAAATGGGAAATATAAAGGAATTGAGAATTGGGAGAATCATGAAGAATGTAATGAACAATTGATGGACGGTTTGAAAATGAAGCATTTAATGAATGGTTTTCACATTCAGCATGATACAAAAGCTGTTCGTTCACTGCACATCCATCTCGCTCTTTGTAAAATTTTCAAACGTTTCTTTCAAGTGATGGGTATCATAGTGATATTTTGATTTCATTAACTCATAATTAAACTATACAACGCATACCTTACAACTACTATTTTGTTAAGTAACACATCATCCTGTTTATTATATGTTTAATAATTTGTTTATAAATGGGTAATTTTACTAAGAAAATAAAACCCAATCCATTGATCAGTTGTATTGTCTTTTGACATCAGTTAACTGGAAAAAATGGTTTAAGCTATTGATTGAGAGAAACCCTGAAAATAAGGTTGGATACAATTGAGTGGTTATTATTCAATGTTGGTAATATGGTAGGTTATATTTCCACAGCCCTATAATGTCTTTAATTCATGAAGATATCGTGTGATTTACTAGAATTCAGGGCTTTGTATTCTGTTTCAAATTTAGTCTTTTGGTTATTGAATTTCAAATCATAAGGTAGGTTAGCCTTTGAGTCATTATTGATGAATCTTAATTACTAATACTTTTAATAAGCATAAAAGTATTAACATCGTACTGTTTATTCAAAAGTTTGGTAGCGCTGTTCATCTTGCAATAGATGACAGATCTTATTGACATTTTCGTTATTAAACATTTTTAGATCAACTATACGAAACTTCTTCAAAATTTTCAATTAAAATTATCCGATACTGCTTTTAACTTACATTTTGTTTATTACATAATTAACAAAGTAAGTAACTTTACTGCACACCTGTGCAATTACTTGAGTATCCACAGTGAATAGATTAAGTCAAGTTTAACCAAGACGGGATTATACAAAATGTGAATGGTTGTTTGATTTGTATAGTAACTAATGGTACTTTCTGGTAGAACACTGTAGAAATCATCTGCTCAGATCGCTCAACAACATATTTTTAAAATTAGGGACAATATCATTTATAATCTACTGATCTAGAAACATAGTGTCATATATATAGGATTTCGTAAATCAGTTATCGACTTCTACTATGTTCCATGGCAAAAGCTTTAGCAAGTGCAGAAAAAAACTTAGAAGTGTTCAACCTCCCTAGCATCAAATAAAGCGGTTCCATAAGATAATACTTTGGTCAACATGTTAATGAAAGGGGGAGTATGACTCTCAATTTCACCTTCAGATTTATTTACAAGTTGCACCTGGACATCAACGCAAATGAGTAGGAATCGCTGACAGAAGACTATCTAGATTTTTTTGAAAATTTTCGGATAGTTTTTCTCTTAACTGTGATTCATACAAATATAATCACTATTCATTTAATACACTTAGAACATGATATGGTTGCCCTTATGTTTTCAAGTAACAAACGACTGATAAGTTTACTGTCACATAAGTCTAGTCAACAGACGAACACAGTTTCTTCTATAGTTCACAGATATACCCGGTATCATACCGTAAAAATACATTGGAATTTAGTCGACATCACATGAATCTCTTCTATTGGTACATATTAGGAAGATTGACACTCAATTTCAATACACTTTAACTAATCAAGCTGTATTCCAAGAGTACATGATTAGGATGAGTGTTGAGTTGTAACATCTCTTAGTATCCACCATCTATGATGAGACTTTATCGGCCAGTAGTGCCCTAAACAATCGATATACATATATTTCTATCTTTTAGATAATATTGTTAATTTAATAATTTAGAAAGATGATTTTGTTGAGCGGAAAATGGATTCTAGCTTCATAAGTTATTTTTTATTATCGAAAAGTTCATAATGATTAGAAACTCAGCTATATCTCAAGTAGATCCATTCGAAATGTGTTTACACCTTTCTCAGGATCACTATGATATATTTCTTTAAAACAAAGTCATTATTTTTGACTAAGTTTATTTTCATACAACCCCAAAGTACCTTTACGTGGAAAGGTAAATGCATTAATTAGTACGTCACTGGGGTAACGTTTAGTCATTAAAATGCTAACCAGTTTAAATCAAAAGTACATTTTTTTCAGCACGACTTTAAATTCTGAATTCTTTCTTAAATCAATGAATTTACTGTTTATAATGATCAACTCTAATGAATAATTTACGATTAATAAAAACTCAAAAACACTAGTTATCCTACTATCTTATAAATTAGTAGTTTAGTTTAATGGTATAAAATATAAATATACTGTAAGCAAAGATGGATAGTGGCTAGCAGTGGAATCAAGTTTGACACGCGTTTCGTCCTATTTGGAACTCGTCAGCTGGATGGGCCTGCATCTCAGAGCTGATGTTCACTCTGGAATTCGAACCCAGTACCTTTCGCTTCAAACGCCATCGCGAAACGCGAGTCCTCGATTCCACTGCTAACCGTTATCCATCTTTGCTTATAATGCTTGTGAATTAAGGGAATATCGAGGCAATACGCACAGTATGCACATATGCCAATTACAGACTGACCAGTTGCAGTCCTAACACATCAATGGGAAGATTCAAACAAACATTACTAAATGAATTTATAAATATATTCTTTAAAGCATCAATACCTATCAATCAATGTTATCAAAAAATAACTTACCACATTTTAAGCACATACTATGCCATGCTTTACCACCGGCTATCTTTCTTTCTGCAGCATAAACAGCTTTTTGACATTTTGGACAAATTTCAGAAGGCATAATGAATGAAAGAATAGATATTCAGAAGAAATATTTGCAAGATCTATTTTCTAATGGTTATGTTCAACAGAAACAATCTGGTTATAATAATAGTAAATAGGATTAATTAACTTCAAAACACTGTTCACAATATTCTTATGGTTTATATTCTAGTAAATTAAAAACCAAAAAAACAATGTGTAAATCAATTTTTTTTAAAAGAAAGTCTTCTATTTATCTCTATAGTAATAAAATTAAATGATGATTATAGTTCATGTATCATTACGAAACTTATTTATATACAGTTTCTATACGATTTTCAAAATGTGTGTTAACAATTTTGTGCACATATATATATTTCAGTAGATTGAAAAGAGGGAACATAGGTAAGGTATAGTGAATAAGGGGGGGGAGATTGAACAGTTAGATTTTTCTTTCTAAATGATTCTCATTTCTTTTTCCTATTTTACATTACTTGGATATTTCAAGAAATGTGTTTTGATTGGTATACAATTGATCAATAATAGAACAAAGATTCCAGAAAAACTTATTTTATTGTGAAATAAAGGTTTAATTTAAAGATTTGTGCCTCATCTGTCTATCTAACTAAATCAATAAAAAATTGTGGAATTTTGTTAATAAGAATTAGAATTGTATAAAAGAAATTTTTTTATGATAGTTATTTATTTCAATGGTAAATTTGTCCAACATTTGGGAAATTGCTACTAAAGTCTAAACGTTTTTGTGTCATAGTTGGAATTTTTTCAGTATAGGGTTGTGAAGATTGTTGAATTTTAATTGATATCATGAATGGATGAATGTTAGACCACCGTTGAAAACTCGAAAGCACTGGACGACCGTTCCATCCTAGTATCGGACCGATGAGCAGTGCGCATTCACGATCCCCCACGCGAAACTCGGACCTAAGACCTTTGGTCTCGCACGCGAACGTTGCGTACAGTTTTGAGGTTCCAAATAATACTGTAATTACAAATAGAATGTTATTTAAATGAATAAGCACACTCTATTTGCTTCCAGACCGATATATTACATTAAAAATCAACAGTTTAATACTAGATGTCAAAAATAGTAATTTGTCAAATGGAATTGTTATTGAATTTTATTAACTAATTACTAAAATGAAGTTTAAATTAAGCGGCAACGAGAATGAAAGCAAATGATTGGTAGGATCTTTCAGAGATTTCGCTAGCTGGTTTAATGAAACAAAGATGTTGATAAGATTTTCATCCTTCTTGGGATTCCAGAAAACAAGATCATAAGTACTCAAACAGTCTTGTTAGAATCATGCTACATTGTTCTCTAATTAGCTTTGGGGTAATTTCATATCATATTGTTAATTTGAAAAAAGTTAGTATACCGAAGCAAGTGGTAAACGGATATGTCCATCTTGCATAAACAGAAAATTACTATTCTGAACATTCCAGTCCATTTCACTCAGAATAATATGTCTAAACTTAACATAGTTAATATTGTAATTTCTTTACTAATGGATGTTTATTTTAAAGGAATTGTACAACTTTGTTTTGTTATTTAACCTTAGTAAATTTCACTGATACTTCATTATGTTGATCCAGTCAAGAAATTTCGTTACTTTATATGGTAGCCTAATTTAACTGAGATTTAATATTTTAAGAGTACAAGTTCTATAAGGCTGCTGATTTAACTTAAAAATAAATCTCTACTAGATATATTTTAGATTATCAATTTAAATTTTATATCGGTGATTTGTTTTAGATTTTATTTCTACATCTGTGTTCAGTTTATAGTGCAGATCACTTAGCAGTATGCAACACTAGTCAAAATTGGAATGCCTTGCAGTAGAAGATTTAGAAGATAGGATTGAAGAAAGCAAAAATGTTAGACAATCTATACTCAGTTAATATGTCTATGTTAAGTACTGATCCAACCAAAGAAGAGTGTCTAGTGACCTAATCCAACTGAATAATATCATTACAACAACGGCCTATGTCGATAATACTTTTCACCGATTAGTGACCTTAAGAAATCTAATCTATCTCAACTTCATAATATGTAACAAACATAGAGTCATCTAATGTGCCAACCTTTCATTGTCTGTAAATAAAAAATGAGTTATTAAGATTTCTCTATAAATGACTAACAGTTTACTTAATCAAAACAAAATTCAAATAATTTGCGATTAAATCATTGAGTTCAGATAACTTCATCGAATTGTAGAGATGAGTTAATTTATGCTAAGACAAATAACAAGAGAAAGTGTATCATCATTGAAAATGATGTATTAAGTTTGATTAAAATAATATTTAGTTTTATATAGTTGAGATCATGAGCCAATTGGAGCTATGTAGTGCCGTGCTTCTTTAATCGTTCACCCTGATAACCTTTATAATATAAGTCTTAACGGTGCATAATATCAGAAGACAAAGGGAAGCGGCAACTACATTTTTATTGATAATTGATGCAGACCAAAAGGTTGTGAGCACATGAGCAAATGATAGCGAGCGAAACATAAGTGACATGCATTGGAGATGGCTGGTAAGCCAACTCAAGAGCGAAGCGATAATAATGCGTATTGGAGATGGCGGGGAAGCCAACTCATTTTAAGCAAGCGTTAATCAGTATTTATACCAGACAAATATGAATGACAGACATATGATGAATAAGATACGAAGTGTGTATGTCTTATATTCTCATTATTTTATTCATGAATACTCTCATATCACCTTATTTATTTATTTTACACTTCTATGACCTTTAATGACCTTTAATTATTGTAACCAAAACATTTTAATCATCTTATTCTATTCACTCAGTCTATTGTTGTTATTCATATTACGTAATCCAGTATTATAATCTTGGTTATTAGTGTTCATATTTCCTCACGGAATTAGTACTTTAATAAAGCATTTTCATATATATACGACTGTACAGCTTGATAATAAATTCGTTGAAAAGAGATCCCTTCGCTGAAATCTGTGTTTTAATTTTAATGTTTAAATGGGAATTATATACCAATATACCTAACTGTTTAATTTTAATACAATCGAACTACTTGTATGTAAAATCTTATTTCTTACTTACGTTATTACAATCGTTACTAAACGAGTATGTACTGGTTAACCCTAGGAATTACCAGACCAATCAATAATGCTACTACTTCGAAACATCTTAATTACGTTTGCTCGTGATTGTAGGTTAAAGTATGTTAAATCCTCAAATACTTTATGTACAATGGTAGTTTTTGTGTTTGAAACAAATCCTTTTTTCTCTTTATCAAGAAACTTTTATTTTACTATTCTAAGGATTCATGTTCGTTTAGAATTATTGCTTGGACGATTATTGAAGCATTGGTAATATATTATCAAACTACTTTTATCTACATCAACCAACACCAAGATCAGAATTTTCAATACAAATGTCAAGACACTTCTACTGTATGGTACAAAAACTTGGAGAACTGCAAAAGCAATCATCCAGAAGATACAGGTGTTTGTCAACAGTTGTCTACGCAAAATGCTTTGGATCTGTTGGTCAAACACTATCAGCAACAACCTACTGTGTGAGAGAACAAACCAGATTCCATCCAGTGGAGGAAGAAATCCGGAATCGCTGGAAGTGGATAGGACACATTAATGAAAGCATCCAACTGCGTCACAATACAAGCCCTTATATGGACTCCTGAAGGCTAAAGGAAAAGAGGAAGACCAAAGAACACATCACTCCGAGAAATGGAGACAGACATGAGAAGAATGAACAAAAATTGTATAGAACTAGAAAGGAAGGCTCAGGAGAGAGTGGGTTGGAGAATGTTGGTCGGCTAATTATCGATTCATTCTTAAATAAGAGACAAATTCGATAAGTGATTTTTAATATCATTTGATAAACTGACCTCTAATTCATAGGTTGCATAGGCAGGAAAATACTTATATAAAGTTAATATAAATCTGTCATCAGCTTATACTACTCCATATTAAGAAGAGAGTTCTTCCAATGATTTAAAATCTATCAGTATCTATCAGTAACATCAATCTGTCTTGTTATTAATAAATTTAAAACAACATTCGAATAAGTTCCTGTTTAGGTTTCCAATTAAGAAAACTTTATTTTTTTTAAAAAAAAATCCTCTCCTTTAACCACATGATAATAAACGTTAACTGTTTACAGATTAAGAATGCATTTTAGCTATAGTCAAATTGGTAATATCACATAGAATATAGTTTGTTTTTTTAATATCTAATGTTCATTGTCTTTTATCATCACTTTCACCATATGGTCAGATTTGTTGTTATTTACTCTTCATCTTAATTTTTTTTAAAAAAAAAAACAGGAACTTCAAATTAAATACCTCTTTAAATATATTTTACAAAATTATTTGTTTATACATGAAAAGTACTTTCATTCTATCAATTTGTTTGTTTAGTTTTTTTAATTTTCCATTATTAAAGTACACAATTAATGGTGTAATTATAGTGCCTATGGTGACCTTGGGAACGGTCAATCAGAAAAGTCTTATATATATTTCCTATAACATTTATTATTAAATAAACTACAAACAGTTACATATTATATAGTTGAAATCATAAGCTAATTTAAGCTAGATAATCATGGAAAACCTGGAAGTACTGGACGGTCAATTCGTCCTATTGTGGGACTCCTCATCAGTGTGCATCCATGATCATGCCTAGTAGGATTCGAACCCAGGACCTAACAGTCTTGCGAACGAGCACTTACACATTAATTTAAAGTTAACCCATATAAATACAGCAAAACAATGTACTTCCATTGTAAAATAAAACAACTAAGACAACAATTTTGAAGAAATAAAATGTTAGCACAATTTGAATGTAATTTCAGTCCCTTAAAACTAAATCACTTATGAATGCCTGAACATAGATTATAATTTTATTTATTATAGTTATATTCATAGTTAAAAGACAAAATACACAATTTACTGAATTCTAATTCTTAGGTTTAATGATTACATAATTTTGAATTTCTGATTTTACTCCATATCAAATCAC